AGCCCCAGTCGCAGTTGAGGTGATTTTCCAGAGTTGTTCCAGTGTTTCGAGGTAGCTGCTTGCATCCGCAGGACCTTCAGAACTCTGTCATCTTCAGTTCATGTCTTTGGGTTCATCATATGCTGTATTTTCATTCCTGTCAGTATACTTGTATTGTGTTAGAGGCTCTACGCTTGTGACCCCTCGGTTTTGGGGATGTGGTGAAATTATTCTAAATTATTGTCTTCAGTTTGGCCCTTATCTATGGCAGAACATTTTCTAATCTCAGTTGATATCATATTGGGCTATAATGCCGTTGTTGGGTATGATATGGTCGGGCTTGCCTAGCCTTGCGGCAGGGCGCCATCACGACCGGGATTTGGGGTCGTGACATCAGGTTCTAAGGACAAAACTAATAGAACTATGAAAGCCTACGGAAGAACTCCCACTCACTGATCTAGTGTCGGATTTCTTTCTTATTAAGTTCAAGCAAGGAGACAGTATTCTCAAAGCGCTACAGGGAGGCCCATGGTTCATTTTAAACCACTTCTTATCCGTCCGACGATGGGAACCAAAATTTACAGCATCCAAGACTCAACTTACGTACTCAGCCATCTGGGTACGACTCCCTGAATTGCCAACAGAATTTTACGATACTGAAATTCTACAACGAGTTGGTTCAAAGCTTGGCCAACTATTGAAGTTTGATACGTGCACCTCGGCAACTACAAGAGGAAGATATGCTCGCATCTGTATTGAAGTGCCTCTTGAAAAACCACTAAAATCCTATATTAATATAGGTACGCATAGACAAAGTCTAAGCTATGAGGGTGTGGGTATATTATGTACAGGCTGTGGGCATCTTGGGCATACAATACAAATTTGCTCAACACCTACACCAAATGCAACAACTCCTACGACAGCAACACCTTCTCCTTCTACTAATACTAAGCATACATGGAAAACAGTGGATTTCTCACGGAAATTTACCTCAAAGAACACTCATCAATGGAGTTCACCTTCCACTTCAACACAACAAAGGGATAGGCTGCTGGTGAAAGAGGTTACAGGTAAGTCCCCTAACCCTACAGGCCCACTTTTGGGCCTTACTAACCAGCTAAACAACGGGCCAGACACTCAGAACACTACCTCCTACAATATGTTCAGCCCATTAGCTGATGTACTTGGGCCTCACGCTGAGAGAAAAATTGATAGCCCAATGAATGTTACTACTGCTCTGTCACCTAATCCTTCTCAGATTGAGCCTAAACCAACTAAGGAAAATATTAGTCAGTTACCTATATTACCGCATCCCTTCTTATCCAATCAGTCATTACCAGATTTATCTTCCAACACCTACACGTCTCTAATAAGTGATAAGCCACATAGGATAGAGGTAGCTTTTGCTAAAACACATAAGCAGAACAATAAAAACCCACCGCCCAATCTGCCTCCTAGTTCACCCCACATGGACTTGTCCCCCACTATGCTTACTAAAACAATTGGTAAATTGCATGCCTCAGTAATTTTAGAGGATGACAACTCGACTGTTACCTGCATGCAAGAAAAGAATCTCCCACGTGCACCCCCTCTTATAACACACGCTAACCCACAATCATCTCTGTTAAATACACTGCCCCATACCACTTCTATCGAGTTTACACAAAATTCTCACTCTTCACCTAGTTACTCTCTAAGCAAGCATGCAGAGACCAACATTCTCCAACAACCTTCGAAACCAGAACTTCAGAACAAATATGGAAGTGAACAATCACTTCTTCCAACTACCCAGGATGATTATGCAAGGCCCCCAAATGCTAAACATCTCAGCACCAATGATTTACACATCTCAGGAGATCACTTTGGATCAGCCACTGCAGTCTTGGCTCGAGATGGGCCTTCAAGAGTATGCCTTAGTGTTCACGATGGAGTTGAACAATCAAGAAGTAGTTCTCCTCATCCAGAACCCTACTCATCTAGCAGAAATAGTGACCGAGGGAATAAGGATTGGGATGGAGTCATATACACAAAATCAATGGCACTCGACCCACTCTCCGCTTCTACTAGGCAGCCAAGTTTCTCCTTCCATGCAAGCACACTGGCAGTACAACCTACCACCATTGCCTCATATGGGAAATCAAAGTTTTTAACTCCTTCAATTCTACCCTCATCATCATATGGGACAAATTTATGCACCTTAGTTCCAAGCCACGGATACTTTCAATCCTCTTTCCCCATATGCGAGTCCACTCAGCCCTCTAGAAATACTGACTCCACTGGACAACCCTCAAAGCACTCCTCCTCAATCTCCATACGAACTAGATCTTCAAACAAGCCAGGAATTAGCAGAGATTTTAGCAGAAATGAGAGCAACGAGGACAGAATTCTGGCGGTTAAAGAGCCTTCACCTTTACAACCTAGACGAGCACTTCGAAAAAAAGTTCATACTGAAATGCCCTCTAGAAATGGTAGAATGCAGTCTCAACTTCAGGCAATCAATAAATCAAGCTTTAGGAAAATATGCGATGGTAATACTTCCTACTCTTCTTCAGAATAATCCGACTCTGAGTCTAGGTCCGACTGTCACTCAGATAGTAACTCAGATGAATCAGTCTCCCACGAGGGAGATAATCTCTCCTAACGCTTACATGAACTTTTTAGTATAGAATTGTAGAGGGTCACACAATCCTGAGTTTCCTAGACACTTTAGGTCTCTTCTGGATAATCACAAACCAGTGTTAGCTATTCTACTTGAAACACACATGCAAGATCATAGTCAACTACGTGAGGATTTTGGGTTTTCTCATATGTCCCAAGTACCAGCAAATGGGCTGATTGGAGGATTACTTGTGTTGTGGAATGAGGCTAGTATCAATGTCACTGAATTAAGCCTCACTGATCAAGAAATCCACTGCGTAGTCCAGGTTAGTCCGCATAAACCTAGCTGGCTACTTTCTGCTATATATGCTAAGTCTACTTATTTGTTGCGAAATACATTATGGAATAATTTAGTAAAATTGCATGACACTGTTTCTACGCCTTGGTTGATTGGTGGTGATTTTAATGAGATTATTTCTTCTAATGATAAGTTTGGGGGTCTCCCCATCAATAATAATAGAGCAGACATGTTTGAAAATGTTATAAACCATTGTAAGTTAGTTGATTTAGGTTTTCTAGGAAGTAAGTATACTTGGACAAACAAACGCAAGCCGGGGTTTACAATTTTAGAAAGACTTGATAGGTTCTTTGCTAACTATGATTGATTAAACTTATATCCTGAAGCATTAGTTAGTCATTTACCTCGTACTCATTCTGATCATTGTCCGCTTTTAATTACTTTACAACCTCCTATTAGTTTACGTCAAAATATTTTTCATTTCGAAACTATGTGGACCTCTCACCCTCAATTTCAAAGGATTGTTCATAACATATGGTCAGAAGACGATCCCATACTCCCTACTATTCATAAATTTTAGGCTGTCGCAACTAGATGGAACAAACAAACTTTTGATAACATTTTTAATCAGAAAAGATCTCTTTTAGCTAGGTTAGGAGGAATTCAAAATTCTATACATTACCCAACTAGTATATTTCTTCAAAATTTAGAAATTAAGCTTAAGTTAGAATATAGTCAATTACTTTGTGCGGATGAAGAATTCTGAGAACTAAAATCTAGAATAAACTGGATTAATGACGGTGATGCTAACACAAAGTTTTTCCATATGACCACTCTTCATAGAAGATGCAGGAATAAAATCATGGCTTTAAAAGATTCAGTCGGAAATTGGATAGAAGATCAAACTCATCTGCATAATCACATTCTTAATTATTATCATACTTTGTTTACTACTCAATACAATCAGTCACTTAACTCTCATTGGAACCTTAACAATTGGTATCATCCTTATCAAAATTTTGACCATATCTCCATGCCAATTAGCCAAGAGGAAATTAGGAATGCAATGTTTGAGTTTAAACCTTATAAGGCTCCCGGACCGGATGACTTACATCCTTATTTATTTCAAAAATATTGGCCTGCAGTAAAATATAAAGTCATTACTTTATGTGAAGAGGTTTTCACAAATAATTGTATTCCTGAGGAATTAAACAGAACTCTTATTTGCTTAATTCCTAAGGTTAAGTATCCTTCTACTATAACTCAATTTTGTTCTATTAGTCCATGTAACACTTTATATAAGTTAGTCACAAAGATTATTGTTAATCGACTAAAGCCTATAGTTAATAATATAATTGGCCCAACACAAACTAGCTTTCAACAGGGCAAAAGAGCTTCTGATAATGCTATAATAGTCCAAGAAGCTCTTAACTACATATCAAGAATTAGAGGCAAATCCTCCGCTATGATCCTTAAACTAGATTTAGAAAAAGCTTTCGATAGACTAGAATGGTCTTTTATAAAATATACTCTAATTTATTGTAATATTCCTTATTCAATGATATCTCTAATTATGTCTTGCATTACTACTAGCTCCACATCTATCATTATTAATGGTATTAGGACTCCGTACTTTCTACCAACAAGAGGAATAAGACAAGGAGATCCCTTATCTCCTTACTTGTTTATCATGTCCATGGAAATTTTATCCCATAAAATATCAAGAGAGGTAGAATACCTCCATTGGCAACCCTTAAAACTCTCACTCAACGGGCCATCCCTCTCTCATCTTTTCTTTGCGGATGATATTATCTTGTTCTCTAAAATTTCTACTAAGAGCTGCCATACTATTGTAGACGTGTTAAATAATTTTATGTCTCATTCGGGATAGCATATTAACTTTGAAAAATCAAAGATCTATTTTTCCAAAAATTGTAAACAGGATGATCGACAGTATGTCACAAGTTCCTTTAGTATAAAACAAGGTAACTCCTTTGGGAAATATTTAGGATTTCTTATGTTCCAAGGACGACGAAAAACTCAGGATTTTCAATTTCTTCTTGATAACTTTAAGAACAAGTTAGTAGGATGGAAAACTAAGTTTCTCATATTAGCTGGTAGAGCCACTTTAATTAAGTCAACATTAAATAATTTACCAAATCACATTATGTAGTTTATTAAGATTCCACCTGCTATTATCAAGAGATTGAATCAATATCAAAGAAATTTTCTGTGGGGCACAACTTCTACAAGAAAAAGAATCCATCTCTTAAATTGGGATAAGGTCACTCAATCTAAAGATGCAGGTGGTCTAGGGATACAAAAGCTTGATATTAAAAACAAAGCACTCCTAGCAAATATGGCTTGGAAAGTCTTTAAAGCTCCCAATACTATGTGGGCACAAATCCTTCTGAACAAGTACTTACATTCAAATCGAGGGTACAAGTATTCCAGAATTTGGTCAAATGTTATTCAAGGTTGGAATTTATGTCAAAAAGGTATTCAATGGAAAATTGGAACGGGGCAGCATATAGATTTCTGGAATGACCCTTGGATTAAGCCTAGTACCTCATTTAGATCACTTATTAAAGGGCCATTACCTGCAAATCAATCTAATATAAAGTTATCTACTTACATTAATAATTCTAATTGGGATTGGAAACTAATTCCTTTTGAACTTCCTCAAAATCTTATAAGGGACATTCATAATGTTTATATCTCACAAACAACCAATGCTCAAGAATTTCTATACTGGGGACTGTCACAAACTGCATATTCACAACACACTCTTGCTATAATAGTCTCTTAACAAAACCAAGCAATTTGTTCAATAATTATAATTTTCAATGGATTTGGAAGCTGTCAATCTTACCTAAACTCAAAACTTTTCTTTGGTTAATTTGTCATAATCGCTTACCCACTAAGGCTTATCTTATGCATCTGGGCCTCATACAAAGTAGCAATTGTCCATATTGTAATAACACAGATGAATTCATTACCCACATTTTTCTTCAATGTGCAAATGCCAATGCTGTCTGGAAGGATTTAGGACTATCCAATGTTATTAATTATCTTCTTACGTTTCAAGGGAATTTTAATTGGCTATATACTTTAATTAACTTTAGTAATGTTATACTTCCACACAAAATAAGTCCTAAGACTTTTATTCCCATTTGTTTATGGAACATTTGGATAACTCGAAATAATAACATCTTTAAGTCGTTAAAAGAATCTGTAAGTATCCCTTCTATAATCAATCAAGCTACTGAATTTGCCTATCTTACAGCACATTATCATAGACCTAGGAAAAAAAGACCTTTAAACCTTAGTTGGCATCCTCCTAATCTAAATATGTATAAGTTAAATATTGATGGGGCTACTGGTCCCTAAAATATTGGTATAGGGGGTGTAATCAGAAATTCAAGAGGGGCTTGGATTCTTGGTTTCGCACAATGTATTCATAAGACATCTATATTAACAACTGAGCTATCTGCTTTGATCACATGACTAAAATTAGTCTTACAGCATAACTTAACACCGATACAAGTGGATGTAGATGCTAAATGATAATCTTTCACATTCTAACATGCTGTCTGACTGCAGGTACCTCCTACTACAGCTTAGCAATCCAAAGGTACAACATGCATACAGAGAGCAGAATATGGTTGCGGATAAACTAGCGAAGGCAGCCACCCTTTTTGTTCCTACTATGGATCCTTGTATATATCATGTGGCGCCCCTTTTTGCAATAAAGGCACTGGAAGATGATGCACCTGAAATTTTGAATGTAAATTTAAATCAGGCAATGCATGACACTAGTGTTAATGCTTTTGTAAATAGTTTACATGCAGGCAGTAGTAGTATTAATAGTAGTCTGCATGAGAATAACTACTCTAAGTACCTGTAATAGATCTCTCTGTATGCATTAGCCTATCTATATAAAGTACTTATCTTTTGCACCAAGAAAAAAAAAATAGTACCTTAAGTATTATTTTATCACATTAGTTTGGCTTCACCTGTAAAGATTTCAGTGACATGGGCTTCTTAAATTTTAACATGAATAATTTATATATACATTTGATATTAATGAAGATTCCTATGTGAGCACTTTTTCCATTTGAGTTTTAATTTCTGTAAAGTTTTATACGATTTTCTTACTATGTAGTTGTTTTTACTCTTTATTGAAATTAATTAAATTATAAAATGCTTCACATCATCTTCATTTTTCTCCCTGCTGGAGGATTTTAACCGATATTTTCAGCTTCTCTCTTAGTTCTTCCATTAGATATTCAATATACATTGACCGACTCAGCAAATTTGTTAGCCTAGTATGATGAAAATCGCATGCTTGACCCAAAATTAAATTGAAGAGTCAGAACTAAATTTTTTTTTAAAAACTAAAATTTCCAATAAAAGGGATTCCATATAAGTTATATTTCCTTATTTGACAATATCCCTACAAACTCTCTTTAATATTGCCAAGTGACTTTTTAATAGCTTGCCACTTGGCTTAACTATAATGCCAATATATATGGCAACTTCATT